TATATATATAAAAAATTAAAATTAAAAAATTTTATCAATTTCAAATAGTAGTTGTTAAAATATTTTTATTTAAAATTTAAATAGTTATTAAAATAGAAGCTATAGTAAAGTATTTTTTAAAATTTGAATAAAAATATTTTGATAACTACTTATATAAAACTGATAAATTTTTTATTTTAATTTATATATTTATATAATCAAAATAAAAAATTTTTAATAATTTAAATAGATAATTATTAAGATATTTTTATTTAAAGTTTGAAAAAATTTTGCTATAGCTTCTATTTTGATAGTTAAAGATTAATTTGTTAACTATTATTCTGAATATTAAATATTTTTATATAACTAATTTGTTTATTCTAATTTTAAAATATCTTGATACTATATTTGTAAAATAGTTATTAATAGCTAATTTTGAAGTAGTTTTTCTATAAGAAATTTATATACTAATTATATATATACTTAACAATAAAATATAATAATATCTGGTCTACTTGTAAAATATTTGTAGCAAGTTAAACTATATTTAAAGAAAAGTTTTTAGTAGATTTAAAAATAGGTTTAACTTTTTTTTAAATTTTTTTATTAATTTTGAATATTAAACTAATAAATAAATTTTAACAATATGTCTTTATTTTTGAACTTGTATAGATTAAGCTTTTGTTTTAAAAGATTGTATTTATTTAATAAATTTTTATTTTTTGATAAAATCTGTTATTTTTTTTAACTTAAAACTTAAGTCTTGTAATGTTTTATAATCTGAATTAGATTTATAAAGACTTAGATTAAAATAGTTATATATTTTTTGTTGCAAATATAGTAAAAATATTTTCTTATATTTGAATCTTTTAGATATTACATTAATAAGATAAGATTGTTTGCTGATAATAATGTCTTATCTGATAATAGTTTTATAGTTAATAGACAATATATCTGTCATCTAGAGAGAATTTGCAAATTTTTATAAGTAAATTTTACTATTGAGCTAAATATAGAACACTCTAATCTAAAACTTTTTTTACTAAGTAAATCACTTTTAGGCTTCTAACAAAAGTTGTAGAGCTTATCAAGATGTATTTAATGATGGTAAGAATGTTAAAATCAGTCTTGTAATTCTTGAGAAATCTTTAAAAACATTTTGCTAATATATAAAATTTCTTTAAAAAAAATCAAATTTTTTTAAAGAAATTTTATATGTTAGTAAAATATTTTTTAAAGATTTTCCAAGAATCACAAGGTTGATTTTAACATTTTTATCACTATTAGATTTTGTTAAAAGCTCAAGAGTAATTTACTTAGTAAGAAAAAAAGTTTTAAATTAGAATGTTTCATATTTGACTCAATAGTAAAATTTACTTATAAAAATTTGCAGATCTTCTTCAAATGACAGATATATTGTCTATTAAAATCAATTTTATTTTTTTAGATACTCTTTTGCTATTAGATATTTTTTTTGTTGGTAGATATATTTTTAATAATAGATATTTTTTAATAATAGATATTTTTTTATTTAGTAGATACCTTTTACTAATAAATATCTTTCTATTTATTTTATTAAGTTTTTTCATCTTTTAATTAAAATCAATATTTATATAATTTATAAATACCTATACTTTTTGAGATTAATTAGATATATAGCTTTAAAGATATCAAATATTAAGTAAAATTTTAAAAAAATTAATAATAAACATCTATAAACCAAACTACAAATAGTTTAAACTTATCAATTATTTAAAAAATTTGTATAATTACTCAAATGAAAATATAATTAAAATATTTTTTTGATAAAAAAAATTCTACTATATATAATATTAAAAAAAAATTGTAACTTTGTAATTATAAGAAACAAGAATCTATTTATATTGAAGTATTTTAAAAAAAATAAAAAAATAACCTGTGTATCTAAAAAAATACAACTCAATTTTATATATAAAAATGCATTAATTTAATCAAAACACAATCACTTAACAATCTATTATATTGGGTTTGGATCCCATAGCTTATTGGTTAAGCTTCCAAACCCCACAAACAAGGTCAACAGTTCGAGTCAGGCTGGAAGCAAATTTAATAAATTTGTTTCTGTAATCTACGGTGGCCATAATCGGATGCGAAGCTCTGTAGAAAGTCCAAGTGCAGTACAAGACCAGAATAAGGAGTTTCCAGAAGGAAACCAGATTGTAAAAAGTTAGCACTACATGTGATAGTGGTGTCACAGAAGGTCTAGGTGGTAAAAAGATTGCGCGTGTAATTCCTTGGTTAGGCGACTAAGAGACAATACCAATATTCTATCACCTCTGTATATAGCAGTACCAACATTTCTACACTCAACTTGTGGGGTACTTGCTTGGAAAGATGATCAATGGATCATGCGTATAAGTTCTAATATGGAATAGCGTTAGGTACTTGCTTGAAAGAGTGATTTAATATTACCAAAACCGGAGTAGTAAGTGAAGCAGTGATATATGACTATGGGCTGTGGTAAAGGATCATGCCTTAACTAGAATTGGAAGCACCTCTGGCATAAGTGAAATGACTATAGAAGTTTACTCAGCGTAAAGAATATAACCTACTCCTGTACGTCTAAATGCACCAAATCGGAACTCTGATCATACCTGTATGGAAGTCTATAATGAAAAAAGCTAAGATTTACTAGCACGAATGCTACACCAACTAGAAATAGCTGGAAGTGATCTAGCTTGCTACTTAAGTAATTTCGTGGTGTTAGGCCGGTCTTTAACAAGATAGGTCATTAAAACGATTACAAAGGCCAATAGCTGGAAGTGTGTAACCCTGTAGTTGCTGTGTGACTTAAGGGTTCTCACGAAGCAAAGTCCCAGCAAACACCATATAAGGGAGTATATAAGGGAGTAGAAGTTATACAACTATACCAGATAACCTAGGAAACATCAAGACCTGGGGAAGGCAAACTGGCGGCAGTAGCAGGGGTCTGGCTTGAGATACGAGATCAGTATACCTGGGGAAGTAAGTGGGAGGGTTGGTGACTGTACCTAGTATTGCACTACCTCTAGGTGACACCCAGATCCAACATGTGATACCAATACTTTTCACGTGGGACTGGTAGCAGTAGCAGGACCCTGCTTGAGATACATATACGAGAGGCCACCTATAGAAAAGTACATACCAGTATAAAGTACTCAATAACAGGCACACCAAATTGGGAGGCCGTAAAGGACTGATTCTCTGAATAGACCAATTTGGGAGTAACCAAGGTTTGATGGTGAGACATGGAGTGAATATGGTAGGTAACTAAAAATAGTCTGAACACCAAATCCAGGTATAACCCAATACGTGGTGGGAATGTAGCATACTCTGGTAGGCTTAGGTCGTAGATAAAAGTTGTCTAAGCTTGTATTCTTAAGATAGATATGTAGCTATATAAGGCAATACTTAATAATATCTAATAAAGATATGAGGCAAAACTTCACCTTAACACCGAAAAAAAAAAAAATCTATTATATTAATATTTTCTATAATACCACATGAGTAATAACAAGAGAAAACCTCGAACTGGCAATTATTCTGAATAATAATTTATTATTCAGAATAATTGCTGGTTCGACGTTTTTTTTTGCTGTCACTTATATTAAGTATACATTATTAGACAAAAATTTGTGAATAACGACAATTTGGCAAATGGACGTGTGCTGCTTTGCAGCATGTGCAGCCAATCATTGCCAAATTACCACATTCATGATCATGATTGGTATAATGATTACATCATTTTATCACCTGATTATTTTTTATTAGAGGGTTCTTATATATAATTTTACCTTTTTACCCCCTCCCCCCTAAAAAAATCACCTGATTTTTGTCACGTTCCTAACGGAAATTCTACGGCGCAGGATCTACGGACAGTTCTTACGGACAGTAAAGACAGTTCAAATTCACGTGATATTGCTAAATCCACTAACCTTAACTGTCCCTAACTGTCCCTAACCAGTAATTCACGTGATTTAATCTGTCCCTAAGAACTGTCCGTAGATCCTCCGATTTAGGGTGTCCAGGATTATGCGATGCGAAATTATGCGCATAATTGCACATTTTTTCGCATCGCATATGCTTCGCATAATCAAGGAAAAAAGGCATAAAAGGCACGTGGATAAAATATGATTGGCTGAAGGGTGTTTATTCAGGTTTTGAGAAGTGGCAATTCCGAAAATTTCCGAGCAAAAAATTACGAAAAATTCCAAAGATTCGGCATAATTGACAAAATCTAATCAAGAAATCGCATAATTCGCATCCATCACATAATTGACCTTAGTGAAATCGCATAATTTACCCAATCGCATCGCATAATCCTGGACATCCTACTCCGATTCTACGGACAGAGTTTAGGGACAGAATAATCATGTGATATTATATAAAATCCATCTACCCTAACCGTTAACTAACCAATCACAACACGACCATGTGATTTTATTCTGTCCCTAAACTCTGTCCGTAGAATTTTCGCGTCCCTAACATGAAAAAAATAACGTGCAGAAATTTATGATCATAAGAGTTTGCAGGATAATTTTGGCTAACACAGTGCGAAATTTTTCTTACCTATTGTTTGGACTTAAGTTTCCCGGAAATAAATCTGAAAGCCTTAATTCTAATTTTCTCCCATATTAAATTTTATATTTTTGTCGGGTGATTACAGGATTATATAAGTCTGACACACTGAAAACTTAAATTTTCTACTTACGACTTTAGTATAGGGGCCCATTAATAAATTCAATTATTAGCCAATTAGGGTTCCTTATATTATACTTGCACCTGTTATATATTTCATTGTTCTTTAGATTTTCTAAGTTTTTTATACAAAATTTTTAACACAAATTTTTTCACATTAGGGCTAATTTTTAGAGTTAAGGTTAGGATTTGGGGTATTTAGGGCATAGAGCATTTTACTTAAGGCACCTCACACCGATTAATTGCCCAGTTTTTGAAATAATATATACATAGGTGTAAAAGCGTTTTAGTAAAAGTCTTGATCCTTAATCAACGAACGATTGTGCAACGTCTCGATCACTAGCAAATAACATTAGAAAAGCTGTCTGAGAACAGCAACAGATAATGAAACTGGATAAACCAAACATACCGTCTAAACTATAGATGCAGAAAGGCGTGTCAACACGTCTTTGCAATGAGATATAACTCAGTAACAAATATTTCTGTATCTATAACATAAACTGATTTTAAATTTTATTACGAAATTCGGTTTAGATGCTCAGTACACTTTTTTAAACTGAACTTTTTTTTCATTTTCTGAACAAGCCTGAGGGTTTGATACAGAAAGAGTTGACTGTACGTCAAAAATTTTTAAGCAACCTTAAGGTCGATGTCAAACGAGAAGTTGAAAAAAAAGCGCTCCGAGGCGCGTACAAAGAAACCTATGGTTAGCACTTGAAAAATTGTTTGAACCTAGCATATCTACTTGGCTATTTATGGCATGTCTAATCTAACCGTAGTATTTATCTGTTAAAGTACTTCCTATAATACTAGACCAGTCTAGCACATATAATTTTATTGTACAAAAAAAAAAAAAAAAAAGGAAAAAAAGCTACAAATATGATTAATGAAAAAAAACATAAGTGCGCCAAGAAACCCCTTTCGACATTAAAAAAAAAAACAATTTAACGCTGATGATGATGATGATGGTTGTTACTGGGAATGTTACACAATGTAAGAATCTGTTGTTTGCTAATTTCTAATAAATCATTTCCTCCGTACCAAAGGGTATCCAAAACCCATTCGGCACTCAATCCAAGTATTCTAACAAGCGCAACAATGCAAACAACTGCAAATACGACTCCGAAAACAACCCCCAAAATCAATCCTACTGCACCACCAAAAAAACTTAATGCTAAAGGGGTACCAATGCCACCAATGGCTGCCAGCATACCAAAAATTACAGGACCAATAAATAACGAAACAAATGCAGCGAATATTAAGGTACAGAGGTAGAAGTAATGCCAAACTGGATGATCTTCTCGAAGTTCGCGAGGGTTCATGAGGTAGTGTACTAGACCTTTGCCAGTTCCTGAATCTCCTCCGTTCATCATTACCATAGCAAAATTAGACTCAAGTCTCTGCCTAGTTTCGTATTCATGATTGATAATTTTAGATGGTGAAGAATCTAGAAAAGTAATACAATCATTAAAACAATAAAACAAAATTTAAATTACAGTGTCAGAAGAATAGTATGTACCTGATGATAATAGACTTTCTTTGGATGTAGTTTTGGTTGCAAGAGTTGGCGAAGTTGTCATGATTACAAAATTGCTTTCAAATGCTATAAACAATCAAATTACAAAAATGTAAAAAACAATTTTTTTTGTAAAAAGGTTGAAGGATATATATACATTCCAGCTCTGCAATTTATAATAAACGGCTGAAAAAGTCACATGTCATTCAAATTGTTTTGGCAATTATGAATCGGTGCGCACTGTAATTATGCCAATCACGAACCGTTTTATAGGAGAAAGTTCTGATAAGCATGCTGTCCTGCATAAAATAAGGTAATCATTAAGAAGGAAATCTCTCTAACAAAATTTTTTCATGTTTCATTGTGAAAAAAAGGATCAAATGATTATACATTTTACGATTTTTCCTGTGAAGACACATGCAAAGCATTTTATTTATGTTTCACTAGATAAACTTGGTATTTAAGCATATGCATAGGATGAAAATGGGTTGACGATTGGTACATCACGTGATAAACAATACGCAAATTAAATAGAATTCTTTCTAAGATGCAAGCTTCTTCTGGTCTCAAGTATGTGCACTTTGCTCTCTATATTCCTTAAATGCGAGTTTTGCTACTTTTTCCTCATAATGTGTCGGTTGTATTACTATTTATCGTTATCCATTTTGGCATATTATTGGAATTGGGCCATTGTTATTAAATACTCTAATTTTAATAAATATAGATAAATTCATTTTAAATTCCGTTTAATTTAATATTTTAGGATGATTTAAGTTTTTAAGGAAATTAATAAAGATCCAATCCATAATAATGCATTTGAAAAATCCAGATTCATCTAACGATTCCAACATTAAAAGAAATTCTTCACGTAATCGAATGGATTTTAGCAAGATTAGCTTTTCGAATATTCACTGCACCTGAAAAGCTCACAATACCACATGTCCGAATAAAGTTACGCCCTTCATCATAATCTGCATTACTAAAAACTACTGACGTACGTACGTACTTATTTATTCCCTTCTATTAACAAGCCTTACTTTTTTGGACTATTGGACTATCTTTGTAATACAAAAATACGTGAAAGGATATATTTGAAGACAATATCAACATTGTATACTTACCTATTTGTCCACTTCTCCAACTCATCTACCGTACTACTTTCTTTCTTCGACAGCTCTACCCATGAAAATTTACGAATTCGTGTAACATAACCTGTAAATCAGAACACAGTTCAATTCTCCAGAGGTGGATAGGGATTTTATTCAGTCTAGACTTAATCTACTAATCTAGACTGTCAGACCTAGGGATGTTAATCGGTCCTTTGGGATCGAGTCCTAACCGATCCTTTCGGATCCTTTTAAGGATCGGTAAGGACTCGGTCCTTAAGTTACACGAAAACACAATACATTTTTATAGGACTTAGATCCTGAATTTATTATAACAGTACAAAATTAATTTGATTGGATAAACTTATTCGATAGATTCAATTCAGGATCTGATACAGGATCTAAGTCCTATTAAACTGTATTGTATTTTCATTATGTTTTCATGTGATTTAAGGACCGAGTCCAGGACCGTCCTTTTAGATCCTAGGACCGGACCGGACTGGATTCGCAATTTAACATCCCTAGTCAGACCTCGGTTAGGGATGTTAATCTGTCCCGCAGTAATTGTAAGCTAATTTTGAGAGTGTTTGAAAAAATCTGTAACTTTTGAGTGGTCTTTAGCTAACATGTAAAGTTATGGGAAATTTTAATTTTTCCTAATAAAAGTTTGTCGGTTTATGGAGGAAATTTAATTGACGGTCCTAAATCTATCCTATCTGAATTACTCAAACTTCTAAGCATTTATAAAAAAAAAATATCTACAACTTCACTTATTGACTAAAGACTGGTTAAAATGCAAATCTTTTATTTGCTCACAATTGCTGCGGGATGCGGGACCGATTAACATCCCTAACCTAACTGATACAGACCGTGGTATTAAAACTGTGTAATAATTGGGTCTAATATTGAACTAATTCTTGGTTAGGAACCGGTCTTTATAATAAAGGTTCGGGCAGCTAGCATAGTCTTAGGACCGTCCTGAGACGACATTCTGTATTGTAGTCCTTTGACTGGTAGGGATATAAAAGTTTGGTTTGAACCGACTTATAGTTGTTAAGCGAAACTTAGAGGCTTCGCTCCTGACGGAATGCGAAATCTAATTTTACCTTTCGTCAATTTAAATTTTAAATGATTAAGGTGATTTCAGATTTTATGACTCGTCATTTTGTGCTGCTGGTAATATAAAAAACATTTAACGTATAGATAAAAAAAAATTTAGGGTTGGGATTATTGTTAGATGAAACCTATAGGTTTTGTCACTGACGAAAGACGAAACTAGGCTTCGTCTTTCATTAAAAATTTTTTAAAAAGATGAAATGAAGAAACCGACGAAAGGTACCGAAATTGGCGAAAGATGGCAAAACTGTCAAAAGGTAACGAAACTAACAAAGCCAATAAAATTAATTGAACGAAAATACCATTTTCAAGTTATTTTTATTTAAATTGTCTCTTTTTTTTTCAAAAAGATACATGGGTTGGATGAAAAGACTTGTCGTGAAGTCATTATCTTAGTTTACAATTTTGAAATTTATGTATATAAATATAATCCTTATAATGAA